ATTTTAAATCATTCAGTGTTCCCATGTTCTAATCGAATGACTACCTCTTGGTCCAGGTATAGATTCCTCATGAGCACAATTAAGTGTTCCAGAATATTCATACTTCGCAAGGTTTTCCATAGCTTGTCATGATCCAAACAATCGAAAGCCTTTGCATAGTCATTAAAGCACAGGTAAACATCTTTGTGATATTGGCATAGAAATGGCATCCATTTCTATGCCATTGACAAAAGGCAGAGCTGTAGGCATGGAACACAGATGAGTGGCTGCCTGGGGCAGAGGGTGGGGGAGGGCTTGACTACAAAGGGGCAGCACAGAGGGGCTGGGGAGCTGACAGAACATTTCTAGATCCTGAGGATGGTGGGAGTTACACAAAGGTAAACTTGTTAAAGGTAACTTCTATGTGTTAAAACTCATAGAACTCTATGAAAAAGGTCAACTTTAATGTCAAGTAATTTAGAAATAAGAGAGCAGGCAGTATCTGAAGGGCAAAGAAAGAATTGGAGGCAAGAGGTTTTAAGATGGGAGGGACTTGAGTTTATTTATTTGCTAAAGGGGAAAATCCCATCTCGTGGGAAGGAGAGTTAAAAGGGGTGGGTGAGGTCCTGGGCACTAATAGGAAGAAAAAGTTGTTTGTGCAAATAAGCCAGATTGGAACTCACCCCACTGCCATCGAACAGCTCCCTGGGGTTTCCAAGGCTGCCAGTCTTTATGGAAGCAGACTGCCTCATCTTTCTCCCCCGGAGTGGCTGTTGACTTTGAACCACAACATTTTGGTTAGCAGTCCAATGTTTAACCCACTGCACCACCAGAGATCCTTGATCACAGCTAACACCCTGTAAAGTGTCTGCTTTCCCTGTGAACTAGGAGGTAGGGCCACCCTTCGGTAGAGCTTTGAGCCACTGTGAGGAACTCTTCATTCTCTAGTGCTGCTGCGACAGAAATACCACACGCGGGTGGTGGTTAACAAATAAGAGGGGATTCTCCTCACAGTTTCCGAGGAGGCTGGAAGCTTGAATTCAGGATACTGGTTCTAGGGAAGGCTTTCTCTCTGTGTCAGCTCTGAGGGAAACTCCCAGTCTCCTTTTAGTATCTGTTGACCCAGCATCCTTTGGAGATCTCCGTGTGGCACGGCATCTGTCTTTCCCCACCTCTGCTTGTTTAATCTGCTCCTTTTATATCTATCACACAAGAGAGTGACTGAAGACATTGGACACTAATCCTGCCTCATTAAAACAGCAGAGACTCCATCCGCAAATGGTATTTTATAACCACAGGTATTATTGTCTAGCGCCATCCAGTCAGTTCAACCACGGGTGTAGGAGTTAGGATGTACAACTTGTATTTTGAGGGGACAAAATTAATTCCATAGGAAATGGAAAGGCTGGCTTCATGGCCTGAGGGTCCAGGTGAGGGGGAGACCATAAAGCTTTGGTGGTGGTGGTGGTGATATGATGTAGAGTCGGTTCTGACCCATAGCGACCCTGTACAGGGTTTCCGAGGCTGTAAATCTTTATGGGAACAGATTTTTCTCCCGAGGAACAGCTTTAGTGGCAGCAAATCTGCCATTTTGGGACTTTGCCTTTGACAGCTTGAAGTAGAAAAGACATTTGGGAGGAATGGGGATCAGCCGAAGGACAAAAGACAAGGCTTTTGCAAGTAGGAGCACAGAAGAGCGTTCCAAGGACAGAAAGTGGGACTATGAACCAGCAAGGAACTAGTGACCTGAGAGATAAGGATAGGACACGCGTGTAGGGGGGTTGATGATGTGCACCATCTTGAATAATGAGAATCAGGAGGTGAGGGAGCTGGCTGGATGAGAATACTGGTCAGTAAGATTTCAGAGGCGAACACATAAGACTAACAAGTGAGTGATTTGATTGATAGATGAAATTCTTTCTATATAATGTTGTGCCAACCCATAGCCACCCTGTAGGACCAAGCAGAACTGCCCCTTTAGGTTTCCTATACTGGAAACACTGGGGCAGCAGATGGCATCTCACTCAATTGTCTCACAGCAGCGCTATGCAACTAAAGAAGGACACTGAGGCTCTAAGTGAGGAGGCCAGGACTGGAACCCCACTTGTCTGACTCCAGAGGTTATATTCTTTTCTTTACTCTTATGCTAGACTGCCTCTACCACATGAAAAATGTAGTTCCATGGTAACAGAAAGCTAGCCCCAAGTAGGCATTTCCGAAACAAACCAGAGTCTGTGTGTAGCTCTGTATAAACTCATCCCCATTTCTGAACACTAGCTATGAACAGATGCCCCCCCTCCCCGGTGTAGTAGGGGACTAGTCTCAATCTTGTATGTAGACAGTATATTCAAAAGTTATTTCATCTGGTCATAAAATTGTTTTTTCCCAAGGACACAAAAAAATTCAATCACAGCTGGAACATTCTGGTGATGGCAGTATTTGGGAAGGGTAGTTTTGGTGTGGTGCTATAGTCCATGAGGTAACTGAAGGAGTGGGTAGCCAGAGTGGCGTGAAGTGAGGATCACTGAGGCAGAGGTCCCAAAACGGAAGTTACCTGAGATGGTGGGGAGGTGGGATTGGGTATCACATTCTTCAGTGAATGTGGCAATGTGACCAAGAGGTTCAGAAATGTTAGGTTCAATGACATGAACACCAGATGAGAGTTAAGGGCATATAAATGAAGGGGTCTGGGCATGCTGCTGCTCCCCACCAGGCAGTGAGGAAATGAGTAGCCCCCACATGAGAACTTCATAGGGAAGGGATATCTCCAGTGGGCCTGGGATCAGTTAAGACAAGGAACTAGGTGGTGGTGGTGGTTGGCTGCTGTCCAGTTGGGCCCCTGGCTCATGGCGACCCCTGCCCAGCCATGACTGTTGAGGGATCGGGGGCATTGCGATCTTTAGGGTTTTCAGTGGCTGACTTTTGGATGTAGGCTGTCAGACTTGTCTTCCTAGTCAATCTTAGTCTGGAAGCCCCTCTGAAACCTGTTCAGCATCATGCCGCCACTGACAGACAGATGATGACAGTGTGTGAGGTACATGAGCCAGGAATTGCACCTGGGTCTCCTTCATGGAAGGCAAGAATTCTACCATGAAACCACCAATACCTGCTAAGCAGGAGAGCACTAAAAAGAGATGAAGGGCCCGAGGATGTGTTTATCATGTAATGGAATTGTGCAATTGAGTTTATCCTGAATGGCTGCTTCCATCCCAGCAAAATAAACCACAACTCTGTGAATGGGGGTATCATGGCTTTACTGCATGTTAATAGTCTAAATCCATGGAACCTGAGGAACCCCGGGGCCGCCATTCTTTGACTCAAACCTTTCTGTGTGGGTGACGAAACTGTCTCATCCCACCTTCTATTTCCTGCCAGGCTCACAGCCCCTTTCTGCCTCACTGTGGAGGAGTAGACATCCATTTCTCAGGAGTAGTGGACTGCTTCTGGCAGATTATAAAGACCCAAGGGATTCTGGGACTCTGGAATGGATTGACACCCAATTTACTGAAGGTAAGAGGGATGGCCAGTCTCTACTGCTTCCCTGTCTCTTCCTGATCCACCCTCTTCTTTTGCTGCTGCCCCTACAGTTTGTGTGGAAACATCCCCTTTGGTAGCATGAGCCCAAGAGAACAGCCTGGCTCTCAGCCCTGGAGAAAGAGGACCATAAGCACTGTTGAGGTGTCTCCTACCCCACCCCAGAGGAACTGAGAATTTAGTGTAGAGGCTTCTAACATGGGGTTCACAGACCCCTATGGGAAACCTAAGCCCCCATCCTAAAGTTGTATTCCAAATGTGTGTGTACATGAGTTTGTACATCTCTCTGAGGAAAGAGTCTACCCAAACCCACTGCCAATGAGTTGATTCCAACTCATAGTGAGCCTCTAGGATAGAGTCGAACTGCTCCCAGTTTCTGAGACTGTAAATCTTTATGGGTGCAAACAGTCTCATCTTTCTCCCAGGGATCTGCTGGTGGGTTATAACTGCCTAACTTGTAGTTAGCAGCCCAATGCTTAGATCACTGCCCTACTAGGCCTCCTTCAGAAGGTCCATAGCTTTCCTCAAACTCCCAAAGAACTTCAGGACCAAATGAAAAGGTTAGGAACTCTTGCACTAGTTGCCTTCATCCCTTACCCCCACAGTACCAGTTTTCACTTAACCATCTTCCCTGATTCTGCCAAGAATCAGTATGTGTGAGCTGTCCCCAACATTCACCTCAATTTGGCCTAATCCAAGTTGACTGCAGACACACTGACATTTTCTTTTTAAGAATCATGTTCATTCTTCAACTGGATTTTTTAAATAACTGATTGGATTTGTTGTTGGTTGAGACTATATATAGTGAAGCATGCACTCTTTCAACAATGTCTCCATTACAGTTCAGTGCCATTGTTACATTCTTTGCAACCATTCATGCCCTCCTTTTCTGAGCTGTTCCTCCTCCATTAACATATACTCACTGCCCCCTAAGGTTCCCATCTATCCTTTCAGTTGCGGTTGCCAATTTGATCCCATCTCACCATCTTCAATTGGATTTTAACATGATATTCATTTCCTTTTTTTGTTTGTTTTTAACAGATAGTGCCATATTTTGGAGTTATGTTTAGCACCTTTGAGTTCTGCAAGAGAATCTTTCTTTATCAAAATGGTTACATTGTATCTCCTCTGAGCTATAAATTGACCCCCGGGGTGGATCAGAGTTTACAACCCCAGGAATTAAGAGAAATAAGGAAGACACCAAAACCAACCGTGTAAACAGTGCGTGACCCTAGAAGTGTACCGGCTAAGGGTGTGTTGCAGGCATAGATGAGTGTGACGTCATGAATGTGCGCACGCTGAGTGATGAGAGGGCACTGCTAGCTGCTGCTCTTACAAATATGAAGGCTCAGCCCGAGGCCACCATGAGCCCCTACCCATTGTCCCTATCCCATGGGAAGATTTCCCAGCAGCACTGTTTCATAGGACACTCCCCAAGACCTTAGAAGCAAGGCGTGATGTCCACTTGATACGCTGAGTAGAAACAAGACACCAAAGAATCGACAGTGCCATGCCACTCAAAGCAGCCCTGAGCTCAGCCACAGGGACACAGTCGATGCCAAGTTTGCATGGCCCCAAGTAGACCAGTTTCACTTAGTTTGACCCAAAACTTCACAATCCAGTTGTTCTTAAATATAGTTGTTCTGACTTAAGGAATTGAAAACATTTAACATTTAAACTATCACTATAGCAGTAAAACCCCAGGCTTGGAATCTTGATTTCAGAAGGGCAGATTTCACCAAGACTACTTAATGAGGCCCCAAAAGCCCATCTTCCAGTTGAAGTCATGTACATACAGTTCAAGCAAGGAGCCCTAGTGGCACAATAGTTCAAGCCCTCCAGGCTGCTAACCAAAAGGTCAGTGGTTCAAGCCTACAGGTCTTTGCAAGTAAAAAAAGACCTGGCTTCTGCAAAAACTGCAGCCTAGGGAATCTGGGGAAGGGGGCAGTCCTGTTCTGTCACATTGGACCACTATGAGTCAGAGTCAGCTTGATGGCACATGGCCGAATTCTCTGCATTTTTAACTGGTTTGACAAGCCTACCCTGAAAATAAATTAGATAACAAGCTATTCTCACAAGATATCCCTTTTGTCCAGAAAGGATCAAATGGAACATTTACATACGCCCCCCAAAAAAATTTTTAATTAACGGAGTAAAAATACTTCAGGGTATTCATCTATTCTAGATCTCCGCCCCCCTCATTTCACCCAATGGTTATATCTTACATTTTAAAAAAAGTTGTTATCCATCTCTTCTGACTCACGGAGACCCCATGTCTGTCACATGAGAACTGTGCTGCCTAGGGCACTAATTTTTTAAAAAAGCAATTTTCAAGAGTGTTCTACCTTACAGACATAACTAACTGTACCTTTTGAATTGTGCCTTTCTATAAATTTTTAAAATGTTAATATCTAATACCAAGTTGTCAATTCAAATGTAGAGAGAGAAAGAGAAGAGAGTGTTTCCATCTGTTGAAAATATTTTTAAATTAAACTTATTTCCCAAAGAAAAATAATGTGTTGGTCATTTATTTCTAATCTGAGTCACAAAACTATGAATACTTTCATACTGGTCCCAGTCTCTAAACTCTCAGAGGCTGTCCTATTTAAATATACCAAAGAAACTCTTCCTCCACCTGCTGTGGCTGACTGTGTGCTTTATGGGGGATGGCATGAAAATCTCATCTTTAGCCCAGTTTCTAGAGTTTAGAACCTGTTGCTGTCAAGTCATTTCTCAGAGTGACCCTAAAGGACAGAGTTTCCAAGGCCGTGCCCTATACCAAGTGGCTGGTGGATTTGAACTGTCCTTTGGTTAGCAGCCGAGTGCTTTAACAGTTCTTTGTTAGAGTTCACAAGGTGGCCAATTTTTTACCCACAGTCAGCAGTTCATGTTTGTTACTCTTCACTTTCCTTGAAATGAACAACTTTTCAGATGGTTCTAAACACTGCAAAAATGATATATTTTTACTAAATCTAAAAGCCTATCTTGGCTGTTTATGGCATACTGTTGGCAGTGGTAAGTGCTGTTAAATCAGTTCTGACTCATAGCGACCCTGTATAAGATTTCCGAGGAGCAGCTAATAGGTTTGAACTACTGAGTTTGCCAGTGCTTATCCTATAGTACCACACCAGGACTCTTATAGTACATTAGTATCTTCTATATATTCATCTGGAGTCCTGGTGTGGTGCTGTGGGTTAATGCGCCAGACTGCAAAGTCGTTTGAACCTCAAGGTCAGCGGTTCAAGCTCACCAGCTGCTCCTAGGAAACCCTATACAGGGTCACTATGGGTCAGAATCAACTTGACGGCACTTAACAATAACAACATATATTCATTTAAGGAGCTCTGGTAGCATAGTGGTTACAAGTCGGGCTGCTAACCTCAAGGTCAGCAGTTCAAAATTGCCAGCCATTCTATGAGAGAAAGATGAGGCTTTCTGCTCCCATAAAGATTTACAGCCTCGGAAACCCTATACAGGGTTGCTATGAGTCAGAACCGTATCCACGGCACAGTACCACCACCACCATCTATTCATCTGGAGTCCTGGTGTGACGCTGTGGGTGAATGCCTCAGACTGCAAAGCTGTTTGAACTGCAAGGTAAGCAGTTCAAGCCCACCAGCTGCTCCTTGGAAACCCTATACAGGGTCGCTATGGGTCAGAACCAACTCAAAGGCACTTAACAACAATAACAACATATATTCATCTAAGCCCTGGTGTGGCACTGTAGAGCAAACCTACAGCCACTCTCAGAAACCCTAAACAGGGTCACTATGAGTAGGAACTGACTCAACAGCACACAACAACAACAACAAATATATTCATCTACAAGTATGATTGGCTAGATAGATAAGCCCTTCCTGATGTTATATATAGAGATGTTTTCTGCGGTACCATTTATATTTTCAATAAATTTAATGAGAAAAAGGATATGCCTCATTTATTTAGTTTCAGAACAACTCATCACAACTGTGGTCCTATTCCTAAAATGCTATTTCAGCTCTTTTCATGCGATTGGAGGTAGGAAGGGAGAGTTCTGCTTAGTGGTTGGCAGTGGGCACCACTCTGAACTACATACTTTTGGAGCATTCTACAGAAATACAATGCAGTATTTACCCAGGGGTCATTTACAGCCTTAGGGACTGCAGCATACTTAACATGCATGAAATAGCTATGATTACAAAGCAAACAAAAGCACAGGGATGATGACATAGTACCAACTGGTTACCTGATAACCAAGAGGTTCAATATATACTTATTGAAGAGATGAGTTAAGGGATCATCACAGGTGCGGGGACTGCTAATTACCAGGGGTTTATGGAGGTGAGGAGTCTTGAGTGAAGTTTTGAAAGAAGTGAGGGGACATTGATTGGTTAAAAAGAGGTTTCAAGACTTCTGGCAAGATGGTGGACTAGGCAGACGCACTACATGGACCCTCTACAACAGGTGGGGAATGCCCGGTCCACAGGTGGTATTTGTTGTTGTTGTTGTTAAGTGCCGTCGAGTCGATTCCGACCCATAACGACCCTGTATAAGGTTTCCAAGGAGCAGATGGTGAACTTGAACCTTGCAGTTCAAACGACTTAGCAGTCTGACGCATTAGCCCACAGCGCCACACCAGGACTCCTGATGGTTATAAGGTCCCCCAAATCATTTGGTCTGGCCCTGCCAAGGCAACCATAGTTTCATCACATTGTTAAGTGCCATTGAGTCGGTTCCGACCCATAGTGACCCTGTACAGGGTTTCCAAGGGTGTAAATCTTTACGGAAGTAGAAAGCCTCATCTTTCTCCCGCGGAGCGGCTGGTAGTTTCGAACCACTGACCTTAAGGTTCGCAGCCCGATTCGTAACCACTACGCTACCAGAGTAAGTTAATTAAATGTTTGACCAAATACAGCAGGCTAATTTTTAAGTTGACAATTTTGTATGACCCATGACTGATGTTATAAATTTTGGCAGAAAAAAAGGTTCTCTACCTCTACTTTACAACAAAGATACGAGAGACCAAATAAGATAGCCACAGGTGAAAATTCTGGCACCCTGAACTTCAGAAGAAAGATTAGAGATGTGGATAGAGTGCTGGCTGGGAGAAGTAGCTGATCAGGGATGGTGAGAGAGGGAGATTGGCTGGTGAACCGCTGGCCAGACACGGCTCGACCATTTTGTGAGGCACGTAAGCAGTGGAGCGAGGCCTGACAGAGTAGATTCTCACAGATGATGGGAAAGGTCTGACTCCTTTCCCCCATGTTCCCCTGGTTAACAGAGGTGTGGCCAGTTCCCACCCTCATCCACCCCCATGCATACCCTGCTCTCCAAAACTTCAAAGCCTTGTGGGTGGGAGCCACACCAGTGTGAGGTGGGAGTGCTGTGGTGTGCTGCTTTGGTGCCTGGACTCAGGTGGGCTTGGCTCCAGACCTACAAAACCTGCAGAGCCACCAGACCAGCATTTAACCAGTCATGCTGCCACCAGCTTCCCTGTGGTCCTAAAAGACACTGAACCCAGCTCTATCAAGGATCCCCACAACCTACTTCTGTACTGTGTACCCTAAACATAGATACCAGCAAGGCCAATAGGAGCTCCATCTAAGGTAGGAACTCTGTTGTCAGAGAGCTTCCACAGCTGCCTCATAAGCTCCTTGAATTGCAGGAGCCCACCAGAGATTTCTCCCCTCTGGGTTCAACAACTGCACTGTTTGTTTGTACAAGTATGACAACCCCACAATGCCCCAGAGACAACAGACAATTTTAGCTGACACAAAGAAACGAGAGAATGACTCAAGCAAATGACCAACATGCAGAGACAGAAAACCTATCTGAGGAATAAAATTTAATGGAACTAATTTTAAAAAAGAATTTAAAAGAATGATTTTTATCTGGAAAACAATATGGCGTTTCCTCAGAAGGTTGAAAATAGAGATACCTTACGATCCAGCAATCCCTTTACTCGGTATCTACCCACAA